AACACTCCAATTCAGGAATACAATAACGAGAATGGCAGCTGTCCAGCCCTTTGTTTGTGTCCAAAGCAACAGACTCAGTGGTCTCCATGATGCCATCTGACAGCGAAGGCTAGGGTCCCTAAACGACGACACTGGTACTGAAGACTGAACCAAATGGAGGTGCGCGCCCGCGGCTGTTTTCGTCGATTGGAGACTGCATTGCATCATTTGCATGTTGGTTAAAATAAATATAGATATAGATACGGGTTCTCTAATGAAATTTCTGGGTACACTAGTGTTGCCGTCGAGGCGAGTTAAACTCGAGGTGAAATCAATTCGGTTCGAAAACGACCAAAGTCAGAAAGTGCGGGATCTGGCCAGTCTGCGTGAGGTCTATACAGACAAGTCACAGACTCAGTGTTAAAGTCTGGTCTGCCAGCCAGCAGTTGTCCGGAAAGTGCCGGGAAGTCTATGGTTGTCTGCCCGCTGTATTATGTCATAATTTACTGTCAGTCCCCCGCCATCCCGCCATCAGCCTCTCCCGCCATTTCACGTTGCCCGCCGTGCCTACAGACAACATATCATCGACTACAGCTCTACAGTCGCCAAGTATTCCAGGTGCCATGCCCCCCAGACTTTGAGGCGGAGTCTGCGCAGACTTAACACAGACCGGCCATTTCCTACATGCCCTCACCAAAGTTGTTTCAACTCGAAACTCCGATTTGAATCGAGTTGCACCTCGTTGGGTTCGAGATTTACGAACGATTTGGTGTACTTCATTCCATACATCGTAATCCCCTGTGAATGGCCCCAGGCCCATATGAATATCATTACAATGAGCTGCAGAGTACTCGACATAGCTGCCACTCCAACATCGAAGGAACTTTCTAGATTTTTGCTCGGTCATTCTTGGAATTGGGACTTAGGCTGGAACTATTACGGTTGGTGAAAAAATTTAGTATATCATGATAGCTCACAACTTGCAAGCAATGTTGTTAATTCCATGTCGTCGCAGCAGAATCCTGGCCTGTGGACACATCCTTATCTCAGTCCTGAACTACCCTTACACTTGAGCTTGAATTCTCGCCAAAGCACGCTATCTCCACTTCAAACTCCAAATGGATCCTTCGAATCACTTCGGAACATTTCACTAGGTTCACTAACTCCTGTGCCCAGTGTGAATAGTGATGAAGACTTCTCGCATTACCATCCAGTGCCGCAGGTTCCGTCTGCGCAAGATCTTCACTCGACATATGGGACATACAACCCTCAATTGATGCAGTCCATGCCTTCGATGCAACTACTGTCTACTGAACATTCGAGTTTCCAACCAGCCGTCGACTGGGTCCATAAGCACTCAGCATCTCCGAGTATGGTGATGTAGATCATCCTGGAAGAGCAATGATACATTGAACCCGTCCCTTGGATAGAAAACCGATTGGAAGTGCACGGTGTCCCGAACGTTTGACTACTTGCCATGAGTCTTGTCGCGGTGAGTAACAGAGCGTTGTGGTCTTACATCTCGTAATTTTGAACCACACGGAGACGGAAGAATAGGAGGTGCCAGTGTAGCCAGCAATCACATAATGTAGGCCGGCTAGGTAACACTATGAGACTGGAAGTGCGTTCGAATCACCGGGAACCCAGGAAGACCATGCGATTCATGCAGCAGCTTTGATCAACGTGGCATTTTGCCTCGTCACAACCGCGTCACGGCTGTGTCAAAACGACTACATCCATGAAAACCTGCTAGTAGTGGATGGGATAGGTTTTGCCTAATTCTTGTCGTGCAGTATTGTCCGGTGAGGCATACCCATTTTGCCAAACACTTTTGTGGTAATATAAAAGCCCATATTCTTACTGTCACTGGCAGTGTCCACCCTGCCTCAAATAAATCATTCGAGCACCTCAGCAGATCATACCACTTCAAACGGACAATGCGTCCCCTCGCCCTTGCCTTTATTGTTGTGTTGACAGCATCTAGTATAATGTCTGTCACAGCAAAGCAACCGTCGTGTAGTGAGCGGACCAGTTGTACGAAAAGGATACTGACTGTTGCGATAAAACCGATGTTTGCGAGGCAAATATATGCAATCCCGATTCCCGACCAAGACCCCCCCACCCTGAGAACAAACCGATTTGCACGTAGCGACACACTAGTGAGTGTTTCCGCCTTCGTAATAGTGCTGTTGATCGAACAATGCGTAGAACACTGCTGGTTGAGAAATGAATAGAAGCGATATTGGATGGAATCAGTACATGATATGAGTGTATCTGCGGCGGCCACTGTTCGGTTTGGGGTAAACAAAGCACCATAGGCCAAACCGACCACCAAGGACGGTGGAACATCAGTTCTGCATATGAGCCGCGAATCCCTATGGAAAGCCTCGCTGACAGCACAGAATTAGGTAGGAGATCCAGCTTTACGAAAGACAACATTTCAAATCTCAAATCTCATAGGCCGTAGCACTGAAAGAGCTTCATTCCCACCTGCTGGGATGATGCAAAGTGCGTTAGAAAGAACAATTTCCTTCTGACTCAAGGTCCGGCTAGTTCATGCGCTACCAAATTGAAAAATTTCGAGCGTTGGTAGTCGTTAGACTCACAGGCAATCGGTCATCTAGCATCAGCAATTAGAAGCTTCAAAGGCTGCATGAACGAGTTTACATCAAGGCGAAAGGAAAGTGGTAATATTGTTGACGGAATTTTCAGCTAACCCTTTGAACCTGTACTGCCTTAAACAAGTGATGTGTAACTCCCACAAGGTGAAACATGCCAGGTAGCTCGAGTACGTTCTCTGCGATTCTACAGTGTATCCTGATGAGTTAGTTCCGTGTTTGCCTTCTCTGTGGTACAGAGAACGAGAATCAGACGAAATTCAGGTAGTTTATCGCAAAGCAAGGGAACTTGCGCAATAAAATAGCCCCGTTGATCTATGTGACAGCATCTATGGGATTTGGCAGAAGGACCACATTCGGCGATCAAGTTCGTGCAAAGATTGACAAAACCCTAGTGTCGTCAAACACGGGCATTAATATCGATATAAATGGAGAATTTTGGATGATTCTCGACCACGGTGGGCGTCTAGAAAAAGACAAATCATTAGCATGAAAATTTGTCCACTGCTAGTCGTTGAATGCACACCAATCCAACACATGCCGTTTCCCAACAAACGTGTCCCGCTTCATATGATGGGCGAATGTGAAATTCATCTTTCACGACGGGTTCTAAAGCCACGCATCGCAGGGCACCACGTCACCTAGCAGGGATAGCAAGGTAAGTGAATTCATTTGGATTGATAGCAAATAATAAACCAAGGACCGAAGGCTGTGTACGAACGTCAGCATCAATCGACACGTTAGACTGCCATTCGTCCTTAGGGAACTGAAGCGCAGATACTGTACCCTAGTTAGATCGACGTGGACGACGGATGTATTGCGTACCTTATCCCAGGTGTGAAAAGGGTGGAGCAGCAAAAAAGAACTTGCAATAATAGAGAGCGCTGGCAATGTCCTGAGAATGTGGCGGCATAGCTTTATCCGTGTTGCCCCCCACAGCCTGTAACACCTCACCAGACGCAACTTCTACATCCGTCAGATTATTTCATACCTGTCGATGTGCCATCTACCTGCTAATATGACACGAGGTATGCTCTTTGGAAACACGGGGGATCAGTGCCGCGTACCAGTACAAGTTGATCTATCTTGCTGATCAAGTGCCTGAGGCAATCCACACCATCTGAGAATCTTCAAACGACCACAGTTCTCAAATTCTGGATGAGGACGTGTGTTTTCCATCTCTATGCCCTTAGGTCCCAGCGAATTTCAGGCTTTTGGTATCAGAGATCGCCGGCGAAGACCCGAAGATATGGCTTTGTCCGTGACACCTTTGCCAAGCTCGTGTCAGGTTTGCTTCCAAGACAAGATGTCAACGTGCTGCAGGTTCCTGCCGAGGTGACACGACGAACTTCATCCGAGAAGGTACCAGACTACGATTGAAGAGACGTATCAAATCTGCCTCTAATCCCCGTTTCTCTTTGGCTGTCCTTAAATTCATCCATTGGCTCCAATAATGAATATTAGTGGGACACGGCACACCTTTTTCTCGGAACTTTGCCTACAACATGACCGTGTTTCGTTTTCCCTTCATACCAACGCAGCTGACCTTGGTGTTTCAACTTTCACGATATAAAACGCATTTCAAAAAATCATTGGATGCGGCGAGGCCAGCCTGATCTATCTTGCCGATAAGGTGTGACTCCTCAGGCCATTCATAAAACCTGGGAATTGTCGTACGACTTCAGTTCATTCGGAACACAGTGTAAAAATTTCATGCCTACTGCGTGCTCCATACCATCAGGTTCTAGTGAATTTCAGGTACAGCCCTTAATGAACAGAAGAAACACATGTGAGAATATTACAGATATAGCCACGATAGATGTCCTTTGATCATGAATCGCGTTACTGTGCATGGAACGCAGTGCGTATTTGCTATGATCCCCGGCTCACAAAAAGCAGCGCGGTTGAGTGTGAGGGGAGATTGCCTTTCTTCTATCGCGACATGCTCTGCCTGCCCGAGTTAGATCGCAGTTCAGATGAATTTTCCTCAGCAGGACTAAATTGAAGGACAGCAGTTGTTCCTTCACATAGACGACAGTGGCGTGGGGGGATGCCCACGCCAGGACCTGACTTAGAGCATGTTAGTGCTGCATACAAATACCAGGGAACGCCACCTTGAGTAGATTCGAGCTTAAATGCGAACATTTCTAATGAAACCGTAGCAAAGAGAAGCGACGTACAAGTAAAAGTATACAGTAGAGCGGGCATGAGCACGACTATTCGTTTGGATGTGATTTGTGCACTGACTGTCTTCGCATTTCGAACCCTAGCTAGTATAATTTCAGATGTTGATAAGTTTTTACAGATTCAGAAGGTGGACGTATTTGTGCAAGAGGATGGAGAATGCCGGAACCCAAAACGCCAAACAGCGCCATACCTCTGGAGTCTGGACTGCTGGTATAATGCAGATCCAAATTCCGTACTTGTATGACTGGTTGCCGTCGTATCTTCGTTTAATTTCTATATCCTGAATATCTCCATTGACAGGGATCCACATTCTCCAATATCGCTGGCGCCGAGCAGGACGATGCTGGCGCACTCAGAGTCCCTGAAACAACAAAAAGGCCAGGTTTATCACTCAGCGACCTACCTGCGTCGTCCATCGGGCAGTTTTTAGTTTGACACTGGTGAAACTCTTATCATGATTGGTTATCATTATGAGCGCTTCTCACGTAAGCTCCAGGCGTGCGTTTTCCGAACAGTCTGGGGCACATGTTCAAAACCTGGGGAAAATACTGGTATATTATAAGCTCACTGCCCGCTCATCACTCCGTTTACAACTATCGGCCACTCCACTCTTGGCCTACCTAGTCCTCGATTATCATGGCAAACTATTATGACGAGATCCCGCTGAAGCTCATCGAATGGATATTGAAGCAGCAGATGTTTTGGGTAGCTACGGCTGCGCTGCAGGGAGATGGGCATGTCAATGTCTCTCCCAAGGGCACTGCGAATTGTTTCCACGTCGAGAGTCCTACCAGAGTTTGGTATGAGGACCTTACGGGTAGTGGTATGTAACCTTTCTTATCTTACTTGGCGAGATTTCTTCGTTGTTCAGGGTCGGCGTACATTCTGCAAGGTTTTACTCCAAGACTCGTATTCTGATCCGTATGGTTTCCAGGTGTCGAGACGATTTCGCACATGCGCCAGCCCGGAAACGGTCGTATTACGATTCTCTTCAATGCGTTCGAAGGACCCCCTAGAATCCTCCGGTTGTGGGGAAAAGGTAAGCATATTCTCTCCATCTATCCTGCATCCTACCCATTCCTACGTCCTTTCTCGCTTTCAAATCCCAAACTCCAGTCTCACTGACCCATCATAGGCACCGTGTACGAATTCGGCACGCCAGAATACAACGACTTCATTCCCCTGTCCGACCGCAAAGCCGGCTCGCGCGCGATCATCGTCATCGATGTACAGAGAGTCGGAACGGTTTGTTCCTGTATTTCTTTCACGTAATGCCCAATTAAACTAAACTTCCTGTCTTCTAGTCATGCGGTTACGGCGTCCCATTTTACAAATACGAGACCCAGCGTACGCTCCTCGAGCGTTGGTGTGACTCGATGGAAATTTTTGATCGTGATGGCGAAACTCGTCAATCCCCTCCCCCCTATGAATCCGAGGCCCCCGTAAAAGACCCGCGTGGGATTAAAGCGTGGTGGACTGCTGAGAATCTCGAGAGTTTCGACGGCCTTCCGGGCCTACAATCCGCACACGACAGCAGCATCTTGCCCATCAACACATTCGACAAAAAGGCCTCGCATCGTAGTATTGGTCAGATCAGGGCTGCCACCGAGACAAAGGCTACAGGGAAAGGTGCCAATGCCAACGCCAAGTCGAATTCGAGGGAAACAATGAGACTGTTGATGGCTTTTGGAGCAGGGGTCATGATGACGGTGGGTTATGTGAAGTTCGCTGCTTCACGTGTCCCGGTGTCTTTGAGAGTGTGACGTAGAAATAGTTCCACGTACGGAATATATTCTCAAGATAGTTAGAGCAATTATGTGCGTTCTCAAACTTGTTTCATCATCTCGTCATAAGGCAGAAAATCAAAAACTCCAAGCCAATTTGATTACGTCAGGGAATTTGAAAAACATAAAACATGGCGGCATGGAATATAGACGAATGTAATCACAAAGCTGACATTCCAGAAGAGTAACAGAGCGTTACTCTTTCTCATAACGTGATGCATATCATTGAAGGGGATGACTGAAGAAACAAACTGACTTCTTCATATATCTTCCGGATAACGACATACATCATTATCATCACCGACAACAGGTCCTTATTCTACGCCGGCCATGAACCTGAGAGAAAGAGCAGATATGTATGAGCACCATATCCACGTATGTAGTCAAGTAACGCGCTGTACATTGAACAGGCACAAAGGTAATGGCCTCATGAACGTGTACCCAATCATGATGCTATTCGGACTTCCAAATACACCGGTGCCCGGAGAAACGACGCGAACACTGTGTTGACCATCCACGAACCTGGGAATAATGTATATGGGACTCGATTCACTGAGATCCGGCTCCGTCAGGCATTAAGCAAGGCACACAAGGTCAATATTTGGTGGAGTGAGACCAGGTGAGACCGGTAGACATGTATATTTCATACGTGTCTGGAATATTAATGTTTCCCCCCTACGTTGCAAGTTGTGACAATAGCCGGTCCAGGGAAAGAGCGCCAAGCGCGAGTAATAATGTGCATGTTCCATCTAAAATCTAAGCGAGATATCAGTTCCTTGAAATGTTGTTCTACTTAATATTGTGGTATGTACCTGGATCCTGGGTTCCTGCAGGCTTAATTGTATCGCGCCACAGGTTTGACTCGCCGACTATCCCGGGGTGTGGGACCTGGTCTGCAGAGGGCGGCGGCGATTATGCCAACTTGAACAGCATGAAATGAAGCAACGGAGAATACGAAGAGCTACTAGAGCTGTGAATTCGGGCATGCGTGGGCGCGCGCGTATTGCAGTGGCAGTGCATGCTTGTCCTGCCAGGTGTGCAGATCGGCATAGTGAAATTCTAGCCTTTAGGCCTTAGGTATTGAATATCGACGGAGCCGCTGTGCAGCACGGTCCGCGCGCAAGAAATTTTAGGCGGTTTGCGTCCAACTCATGGCTTTCAGCCTGACCACGAGGAACACACGTCGTGATGGTGGCGTGAAAAAAGCGCCTCAAAGTACCCAGTGCTTGGCTTGTAAGGCACAGGTGTTAAAGGCAACGAGAGAAGCAACCAGGCAACTTCATATGTGAAATTTGAGTCTGTTGGAAACAGGTGGAATGAGCATGGAAGAGCTTCGAAGGTGGGTTGGGAAAGGGCAAGGGAGCAATAGGCGATATCGTTAACCAGGTACATAGTACATACAAGGATTGTTCCTGCCGCGGTAGAATTAGCTAATTGATTCGGAGGGCTCTGAGCATAGTTCGGTTTACCTCCAAATAACCAAGACCGTAGACCGTAGACTTACCTTACCTTGTGAACTTCTGCCACAGCCTGCCACGCGTATGAATTTGCTAGGTGGCACGGCGCGTGATCCTGAGACCCGGGATTGAATAATTGACCAAGTGTGATAGCACTGTCAGGCACGGAGCTACTCATGGCATGTGAACTTTCAGTCATTGTCTCTGGGCCCGAAATCCCATTTAAGCTGCATAAATAAACCAACACTTTTTACAGAATACTGATCATATCCGCCCCCCGAACTTTATTCAAGCTCTCATGAAGCTCTCACCACTCTTCTTTGTCCTCGCCTCTGCTTGTACCGTGTTGGCTACACCCATGGTTAGTCTATCTGCTTGTATGAGAAATTTATTATTCGGTACTAATCTGTCCTCCGCACAGCCGGTGGAAACTGGTTTGGTAGCAAGAAATCCAATGGTATGTAATCTGTGATCCTCATCTTCTATGTGCGTTCATTTACCCTATCGACCCAAAGCCTACTCCTCCAGACTGGAGGCGAGCTCCCCAGCAAACTGCAGACTGGAAACGGGAGGTGGATCACCATCATCTTGCCCGACAGACTCCTCCAGACTGGTAAACACTCAATACCACAGTGATGAACGGGAAAGACCTTGTATACATCTACCCAATTCATCACTCTCCTTTGTTTTTCCCGTATTCAATCTGTGAGTTAGTTCATCGTATGATTCGTATCGTTCGCCTCCCACTCACTTATCGTTGTCTCTCCCTTGAATCTAGTCTTACAGAAACTCATCTTAAAATCTTGGTCTCGTTTTGCAGTACTATTAATCGATCTGGACATTTTGCGTTATTCATAGAAAAGGGCGGGCTAATTGTGGTGTGGGTTACTACGGAGTAATCTGTGTACTCTTAGGTGGTAGGCGACAGGGACGGACGCTCTTGTACCACGGTTGTACGAGGAGTCGTATTAACCTGGCAATTGTACAACGGCGGTCTACAGATAGCTTGTAACCTTCCCAGATATTGGATCAAATTTGATCAATGCCGATTCTCATCACTCCCGCTGACTCTAAGGCACCTCTGTCCCAACTTAAATATGCATGAGAAACGATCAGCTTTCGATATTCAAAATCAACCACTCAGGATGACGCGCTGCCTCCGGCCACGGGCAAATTAAGCTCATGGATCATCAGAACTCCGAGATTGTAGGACCAAGGATCTACAGCGCAGTTCAAGGTACAGCTAGCCTCACTTTGACAAAAAGCTGCGCCCCCTGTCAGGTTATTTCATGCGCCAAACACGGGCAACCACCACAAAACCAGTGACCGCAACCAGTAGCTGTGTCATCTGACATCGTTGGCCTGAGGCACTGATTGATGATATTAATGAACATTGATGCAGCACACGAGGACACGACAAAAATATGCGGTGCCCCTATGCGTACCATGACGACATCAATATGGACCATGAGCTATTTTATTAAAGCCTCCACTCTCTCTAAATGAATTATCTTCCGTGCTAACTTTGTCTTGCAGTCACGAATTCAACATTTAAGCGCTGTGTTGGCCGAGTGAGCCTGGGACCCTCGGCTCTGGGACCGCGTGGACGACACCAAGAGAAAAAGCGGAGTGCAATGCCAGTGATTACTGTAACAGAACGCAATATCAGTGGTCATGGCAAGTCTATCAAAAGACAAGGATACCGTCCGCTCGACACGTGGCATAGATCTCCAAGCGATAAAGAACCGAGACTCTAGAAGTGAGTCCACGCAGGTGGCACCCGTCTCATCCAATTTACAACAGCAACGCGACAGTCCAGGGGGCATCCGATGTGTTTAGTCGAAATCAGTAGTTCCACCTTGCAAGTCGCCTGCCACGGAACACCGGATCGAAAACAAACGTTCGAGTCTTCCTTTGCAATGCGCGACGGTCCATTCGCCATCCGATCTCGGTTGCGGAATCTAGATTTTATATTCTTATCCGTGGTATGTCTTTATTCCGACCGTGTAGTTTCATGGCCTTGTCGGAGCGGCATCCATCATAAGCTCAATTTCTATTCCTGTGCACTGATTATTATTATGTAAACGCTTGAAGCATGGGAACTTTTGAGTACCTTATAGTTATTCCATACACCATGACCACTGTTCCGTCGGCAAGTCAGTGGGGATCCCCTATTGCGAGCAAGAGAGCACTTCTCGTACATGGTGGAAATTCGTCTTCGCACACGTTCCACCGTGTTGCATCGATGCTTGCGGCCAAAGGCGGGTCTTCTTCGCTTGAGTATTTTTACAGCGCTTATCAATGCATGATAATATCATAGGATACTTGGTCGTTGCTCCTAACCTTCTTGGACATGCTCTCAGGAGGCCTGGAGTTGATTTTCGAGTCCAGACATTGGCTGACGACCTCTTGCCCTACCTTCAGGCTGCTGAGTATGATATAGTCATCGGCCACTCAATAGGCGGACTCGTAGTATTATCGCTTCTGAAGTACCTGCCGAGAACCAGGCCCGTCTCAGTGGTTCTCATCGATACATCCGTGGAGTTAAGTGCGGAGCAGATGGCAGTAGTTCGGAAACCCAAGGTACCTAACGATGTCCGAGCCAGACCTAACCCCACAGTAGAAGATTACGTGGCATCGAATCCTCTATGGACAAGAGAGGATGCTATTTGGAGATCGTTGGGGATCCAGATTGGTAGAGCGACCAACTACGATGATCACATGGATGTCAGTGTTTGCGAATAACACTCCTGACTCGGAATCAACGATACTGATACTTTGGATTGCTACAGGGTAACATGCCATGGTCGTTCTCGCATTTGTTCGCAGACAGGCCTGCTGCTGCCAAATTGACGATTCTGATCGCAGATCCGCAATCTCAGGCTAATGGTGCTTTGAAGCTGGAGGCTGTCGCAAAATTCAAGGAGGTCAGAGTAGTGATTGTTCCGAATGTCTCGCACTGGATACATCATGAATTTCCGGAAGTGATCGTTGAAGAGGCGCTAAGGAATATCGGCGAAGAGCGAGGCGATGGCCCGTAAGAACGTTTACCTTCCCGGAATATCGTGCCATTCCATTCCTCGGCTCCCACGTCAGCGGAAGAAGATCATGTTCGCTACCAGCTCTTGCAACCTTAATTTTATCGTAATGGCGGTCCCGCGCCGCTGCAAATTGGTGCTGGCATGATTGAATTTAGCAACCAAACCTAGATGCACTTACGAACAACAATACCTGGTATATATAAAATAAAATCGAATAAATGCACTGATTGTCGGACATTGAGAATCTGTGCGGCTTCGCGGCAAGTAGAAGTGTAACCAAAAATATACCATACAAGGGAGCAGTGAGCAAGTGAGAAAAACGGCATGAGAATCGACGAGAATTATCAACTTTGTAGCTGCGCTGGCAGGGTCAATGCAGCTTCAAATGATGAAGCGACGAGTGAGATATTGCGATAAGAGACAGATGATTTACTGTGGTTATGGAGAAGAGAATTGTTGATGCTCCCCGGCAGGTTATGGTACAATGACCGTAATCAAATGAATACGCTCCTGCAGGTTCTGCCAAAATTTGTGCGATCTGACAGCGATAACAATTGATCAGAATCGTGTCCACAAGTGTATGCAGCATATAAAAGTTGGCCATCGTCCTACAGTGTTCCCCCGTCCTCAGAGATGTCATTCAAGGACCCGCTCAGAAGATTCTATATTACCTCACACAAAAAATGTGTTTATCCTTCCTCGCTGTCGTTATTGCTTTGACAGCTCTGTGTTTGTCAGTGCATAAAACACCAAGTGGCAACCTTACCAAGTACCAGACTTTGATTATTGCTGCAAAAGGCTTGGTTTGTCTCGATGATCCTGTGAGTATGAGCAGGTTGCTGTACAACCAGAATTCAACCACATGACTCATCTGCATGCCTAAGGGTGGAGGTGACAGCTGCCGAAAAGTCGAATGATGCAGATTTCTGCGTTGACATGGATGATGAATTTTGCGTGAGTATGAGCAGGTCGCTGTGCAACCAGGAGTCAACCATATGACTTACCAGTGCGCGGCGCCTCAGAATGGACGTATGATCTACGTGCAGTTTGAAAATTGAGCTGACAGTCGAAGCAGGCCATCGCAATAGTGACGTTTATGCTTTCGCTTTGGTATCATACTTCAAGGTGCAATATCTAGTTCGGAGACAACCAGTACAGTAATTTATGGATGTCTGTACTTATCTGAAAATAATCGAGTGTGCCTAGTCTTGCTCGTGGTCCACTAAGCTGGAGTTTGAGAAATTGTCAAAATGAGCGATCATTGCTTGATGATTAATATTGAGAGGCCGCACGAAGATGGAACGCACTGCGTAGACAATCTTGAATCTGTTCGTCTAACGTTGGCCTTGTGGACTAGCGTGTGGATCTCTCTTTGTGTCATGGAGCCAACGAGACACCACTTCGTTGCCAAACGTGATTCTTGACAAACATGTCGTTCTCTGGTATGCAGTCGAAGTTCAAGGTCATACGGGAGCGCGCGTTATGATGAGAGTGAGAAAAGGGGGTGACAAAGATAAAGACAGAGAAGATTAATATTACTGCCCAGTGATTGACATCAAAAGGTAGTGTAGGACTCGGTGAGAGTTTGAGAGTGGTTCTCCTCACTGAGCGAGCGTTGGATGGGATGAGGGTATTAATCATCAATACAAACGCAAGGATACTCAGTGAGGATCTCCAGCCCGCACAATAGACAAACTTCCCTGGCATTAGCATTCATCAGGAAAAACCTCCCACGTTAAATTTCACCTAAATATTCAAACTCGGTCGTAAAACAGTTGAATTATAGGCAGGAAATATTTGTAGTAACCCTCAGTGAAACTGATTCAAATAACGGTCAAATATTGAATGAGGTTTGAAGAAGAAGAACGGAGATCCAGAACAGTACTCAGTACTGTGTTGACATACCTGCAGACTCACCATTACTCTTTCTGTTGTCTTTGCTTCTTGGTGCTCACTACTTTCGTCAACGCTGTTCTTTGTCTCCGAGGAAGTATAGGGTCATCGGGGTATGCCATGGAATTGTCGTGGGTGTAGAGCGAGTTGTGACCATATATAACTACTATTCCAGGTATCCGATTCGTCGAAGCGCATGCCAAGAATAAGAATGTGTATCAACTTCTTCGCTGTGCGGCAGTTGCAGGATCACCAGCCTACCGATGATATTAGTAGGCGAATTGGGGTACTATCTAGACATAAGGGAGCAACGAGTAAGTGAGAAAGATATCGACCGAGTACATATCGAAAGTATCGTCGAGAATGAGCATCAACTTGAACTTCTCAACTTTGTCGCTGCACTGGCAGGGTTATTGCAGATTCGAATGATGAAGCGATGAATGGGAGATTGGAATAAGAGATCGGAGATAAGAGCGTTCTGTGATTACAAAGAAGAGAATTGTCGATGCTTGCCAGCAGTACTCCGTTGGAAATTGTGCAGCCCGAGCGGCACGTCACGACAGTAAGTCATATTTTTGCTTTCGCTTTGGTATCATGGCTGATGGTGTAATACCTAGTAAGCGTTGCACGATGCCACTGTGAAGTCATTGCGGAAGAAGATTTCACTTCCACAGCAGATTGCATTTGTTCATGTAGGCGTTCCGTAGTACACTTTTATTTCGACCATATAGTTCTATGCTTGGAGCGGTGTCCATCATAAGCTCAAATTCCATTCCTGTACACTGCAGCTGATTATTAAACACAACTTGACGCTTGAAGCATGGGAACTTCTGAGTACCTTATAGTTATTCATAACACCATGGGCTACGCATCGGCAACAGTCCCGTCTGCAAGTCAGTGGGGATCCCCTATTGCAAGTAAGAGAGCACTCCTTATACATGGGTTAAATTCGTCTTCGCACACGTTCCACCGTGTTGCATCGATGCTTGCAGTCAAAGGTGGATCTTCTGCGCTTAAGTATTTTTACAGCGCTTATCGATGTATGATAATATCATAGGATACTTGGTCGTTGCTCCTAACCTTCTTGGACATGCTCTCAGGATGTCTGGAGTCGACTTTCGAGCCCAGACATTGGCTGACGACCTCTTGCCCTACCTTCAGGCTGCTGAGTATGACATAGTCATTGGCCACTCAATGGGTGGGGCTGTGGTATTATCACTTCTCAAGTACCTGCCCAAGACCAGGCCTACTTCAGTAGTTCTCGTCGATTCATCCGTGGAGTTGACTGCAGACCAGATGGCGGTTCGGAGGGCCAAGGTTTCTAACGATGTCCGAGTCAAACCTAACCCCACAATAGAAGATTATATGGCATCGAATCCTCTATGGACGAGAGAGGATGCCATTTGGAGATCGTTGGGGACCCAGATCGCCAGAGCAACCAACTACGATGATCATATGGATGTCAGTGTCTGCGAGTAACACTCCTGAATCAGCGATACTAATAGTTTGAATTGCTACAGGGCAACGTACCATGGTCATTCTCGCATTTGTTCGCAGACAGGCCTCCTGCTGCCGCATTGACGGTTTTGATCGCAGATCCGCGATGTAATGGTGCTTTGAAGCTGGAGACTGTTGCGAAATTCAAGGACGTCAGAGCAGTGATTGTTCCAAATACCTCGCACTGGGTACAGTTTGAATTCCCGGAAGTGATTGTTGAAGAGGCGCTGAGAAACGTCGAAGGATAAGACAATGAACTTGAAAGACTTTTACGTTGCAAATGTCATGCCATTATACATTTACATAATAGAAAAGCACACATTTCAAGTAGCGCTCAGCTTCAATGTTCGTCCCATCCCAATGTTTCTGCATGTAAAAATTGAGATCGAGCTGTCCGAGCATCGTACCAGTACATGAACATACGACTCGAATGACCGATCAACGCTACCTCGAGGATTTCATCCAAGTCATGCTCTCGTTGCGGGCTTGCTACTATATAAAGGCAGCAGACAAACCGGTGAGTTCTGGTCAACTTTTATCCCTCGTATTTGATCATGAACCGTGTCAGACAACAGCCTTACAGTAGCGAGCTATGATATATGACTCCTGAATCCTTGCGATCCCGATCATCGTGGAGTCTTAAGTTCTGAACCCAAATGGTACCCTGCAATGTCTGGCATGGAGCCAGCTGCCAGTGTGTCTTCCGACGAATCTGAACCCCTTACAACGTAGCCAACCGACTCAGAGGAGCTCAACCCCCAAAATCTGATTTCGAAGCACCAATTCGCAGGACGTGGCAAGACTTGTTTTCTTACACGACAACATCTACATCGTGAATGGAATGGTTTCGACGACGACACGATGCAAGTGGAACTCCAACACATAACCTCTTGTCAGGAATCATGGAAAAGCAAGGGGGGAAGGTGTGTACTAGTGCTTTCTCCGGACGGCAAGACGATTGCATGCGGGAGAAGTGATGAAACGAAACACGGACTGAAAGATGATGCAAGATGCTTGGATGGTCAGTGCGTTACGGCCAAATATGATCACTCTCGTGGTTTTCCAGCGGAACTCCAAAGGGCAGAAAGTGGAGAAGCGGAGGCGGTGACGAAACAGAATGGTGTGTCTACTCTTGCATATTCACCGTCGGACAACTCAAACACAATTTGCATTTGAGACAAGAAGACAGGGGAACTGGTTGGTAGTGCCATACGATAACTTTTTCGAGGTAAACCTCGTGTTTTGTCATGCAAAGGCAGTGTTGATGATAATCATCCATATCATTTTTGGCACCATCTGGATCCTCTTATCGTCCCCGGTGTCCCCTTCCCATTATCCGCTTCTGGAACATCTTGACCGCTCATCGGCGCTTCTAGATAGCAAGAGAGCTTATTACGCAACGACACCTCGAGCGCAGTCTGTTCGGCGTCACACAGGACCGAGGCCCGTAACAGTTTCCGCCGGAATTAAAAAAACAAGGAAGCAGTCTACTAGGTGTTCCTCGTTTCCCTGTATACATGACCGAACCTACAGAAGCGATGGCTTGCACGTCACCCTGAGAGCACCACTGATGCTCAGACTAGTCAGTCATCAACCACAGCTCAGTCGGATTCTGCAGCGTAGCCACACTTGATGTCGCAGCCACGTCTCCCCCAGACACCGGCGGCAATACAACGCCCTGCTCAAGAAGATTGCTATGACTATGGTTGTTGGGACAGCTATTCCCTTACTCTCTGGTGCATCCCTTATCGCCCCTTCGCATTGGTTCCTCCACACAGCCTGTCGCCTCATGATATCAACTTGGCAGGTACTTTTTGTTGTTCCTATGTCCCGATCTGTTTTCCACGACTTTACTCGACTACCGCTCGTTTGTCAAGATCTCATTGTTTGTCTGGGTATTTATCCCACAGTTTTCATGCTACCCCTAGAATATGCATGCGGCTGATGCTCCGCTTGGTAGATTTACATAAGATGATTTTATATTCCAAGGTATCAAGCATGCACCAAATCCATGCATCTTCACTCTCGAGATGTTTTATCCATACTGCAGGACGCAAACATGATGCTTGTGACTTCGCACTGGCGTTTTGAAATGCCACGCCGCCCGAACAAAGATTCACGGAACATGTACGATGAGCCAAAAATGGTGGATAGAACTGTGTCGGCTGACTTCATCTTCAAACCAGGGTAGGCATAGTGTGAACAATCATGAGATATGCAGCAGCCCAAGTACTTCTATAAGATGTAGACATCAAAAGTGAGATCTCAGAAGATATTGTCATGGACACAGAGCAGCCTGCTGCACCCCACGCCTGAGCCATGACCAGCCATGTGCGATGCGACGACAGTGTGTTTGGGCACAAATACTGCCGCAGGCCGTATGCATGAATTTATCGGAATAGTAAAGATTGGTGTATATTGCATTATGGAATGAGCCATACATTGACACCATCGATGAGGAAGATAGTTTTGAGGATGGGCAATTGTCAATTGGAGGCAAAGCTAAGATCTGAGAGGCATGTGTCCGACCTGCTTCATGGGTGCAAATAGTGACGAGAGTGCAATGCTGTAGAGTCCTCCAAAAGAATCACACACTTTCGGCGGGAAGCCTGCTGGCAACTGCACTGATATGATTCTGGGATCCCGTAGTAAGACTGCAAGCACTGAAATGAACCCTGATACCTGATGTGTGCGGCAGACGCTCCCCTATCTCGCTGACAACGTGCTCAATATTTGCCCGGTAGTGTGGTGATTTCTTGGGCTTTCACAAAGAAATCGCTCCACTGCTACCATGGTCAGGGTGATATAAGAATTGAAGGTCGTCGTAGACAAAAGAAAGGGACTTACACGATCTATTCTCGCAGAGACGGTCGCAGAGAATGAAAGTTGCGCTTGTCTCGATGAGCGCCTCATGGACATAAACAGCCTGCAACCGAGTGGCGATCACCAACACGTTTCGAAGGTGCGCTGCCGAGAAACTCCAAAAGACAAGAGTTCGTCTTCCCTTTCATACTCTTTCAAATACCAGCATCCCTTACAGCTTCTCACCATTCCGCAAATTCCTGATGATTACGCCTGTATTTTCTGCAGCACATTCTTCTCGATGGGAAAACGTAAGCGACGACAACCGTCGTCGCCCGCGTCGTAAACGAACACGACTATCAGATGGATCGGAGGACCAGACAGAGACAGACGTTGACGTTGATTATCATGATGAACCTTCACCTGCACCGCGCAGAGTGAAGCCTTTGCCTGCCCATGTGCATGGCAATCATCGTCAACAGTCCGACGGAGAGCTCCCTCCCACACAAACATCTACAAAAGAAAGTTCGCACGGTCAGTACATACCGGCGGGTGACGTGGCCACGGCTTGCAAGTTTAGACCTTCTCATATACCACCACATACACCCAGATTCTGCAAAAATGGCGGTAAAAACGCATGCCTGGATTACCTTTTGGTTTGTCCTCACTGCACCTGTCGTCCTCTGGGACGCGGGATACTGTTTCATGCGGTACGTATCCTTACCTTTGTCTCATGCTCTCACTTTAACGGGATCATGCAAGTCCACGATCCATGCTTGGGGGAGACCTCCACTGGATCTGGAAACCGTACGAAATTTACCAGAATATTGATTATGTGAGTGCACTTCCCTAGCAAATTACGTGCTGTCATCGACGGCCTTCACCAGGTTTATGGTATTAAAGCTCTAGAGGAGAATAATGGGTTCACAAACGCACAATGTGCGTGTCTTTGGTGCTGAATTACCCCGGCTCACCGACTCCCCCCTTTAGCTTTCCTCAATATCGTCGAGACATTCATGAGTCTCGCATACGTGTACTTGGCACATATCTCGGGCTGGTCCCCTGCCCCCCTCATCGGGTTTGTAACAGCGAGCATGACGTTGTCTAAAACAGTTCTATACTGGGCACAGGAGTACTATTGCGGCTTCTGTGCCATCGGACACAACACCGTGTCCGATCTAATCATATACTGGATCATACCCAACGGGTACGTGTGTTCGTTTTTTATTAGTTTGACAGGTCATAACGGGTCTTTTCGGTGTAGATTATGGATCGTTGTCCCTAGTTTAATTGTCGTGAGACTAGGGAAGGATCTCGCTGCCTCGCTCCACGTTGCAGAGCGCGCTGCAACCAAGACTGCTTCTGGAAAGCAGAAATGATGGATTCCCCAGACTATCGGATCCGGGACGAAGATGGTTTATTTACAGTTATAACCTATCGGTTTATGTACGCCTGATTGTGGTATCTATTGTTCTGGAATGGACTTGGCTTATTGCTTGCGTTTTTTTGCTGTAATTCAGTCCGGAGTTCGTCGCGTGGGTCACGCCAGGTGATCCCTCCCTTGCGATCAAGAGGATTTATCCTTCACACGTCTCTGATGATGATCGCACTTTGTCCTTTTGGATGGGGAATGTCCTCTCTCCAGCACCCGATCGCGGCCTTGTTGTTTTGCTCCTGATCACCCGTGCATCATTAGCATAACGACAGGCGAATGCAGTATGATATAATACATACGGGTCAAGCCACCGCTCTAGCTCAAAGGTACTCATGCTATTTATGCGAGCTTTTCTCGCATCCTCAGTGGCGAGACGAGATGCGGCCAAATGGATTCCACGGAATCGCCAGTGTACATGAAGATTCTTCGCTTATTTGGGGTTCTCCCCGAGGACGAAAGGATCCTACAGGATCATGCGTGTACAAGGATAATAATATTCCACGTTTCATTCCACATTGTGTTACATTCAATAACTATACATACACCAAAGAAATAAAAAGTCCGGAGAGATGCCTCACTTAATATGTCACAAAACAAAAACGAAAAGATCGAGTGGCGCAATTTCAGAAGTATGAGACAGCGACGATGACAACAACACAACAGGCAACAGGAAAGATGAAACAGCCCAATGCCAGAAAGGTGAGCGTGAGGTATGCGGTGTGTTCAATAAGTACAGATGAGTGGACATCTGTTGCTGTTGTGAGAAACCAGGCTAAGAAAATGAAATACTTCGTTTGCGTGTTTGTTTGATGCGCGCGGTCGATCGAGGGCTTGCTTCTTGTGAGCCTATACCAGGAGGGAATCAATCCATCTCCATGTCCATTTCCATACCATCCCATTGTTCTTGAGACTTCTTCTGCAGCATGCCCGGGCCAATACCCTCCTCCTCAACCTCCTCAGGCACGCTGAATGATAATACAGCATCCTCTTCCTCGGATTTCCACCTGAACCGTGTGCCGCTCACCCGCCCGTGGATGTGCATATTCGCAGTTGCGATGTCATCAACTTCGGCAAGCTCGCCGTCGTCGCTTGAGTGAGAAGAAGCAGACATCGAACGCACAGACGAGCGTGGGTGGGACCATCCCGAACGTGAAAGGGATGCAGAGGCGGACGGGAGTGACGAAATGCCGTAAAACGAGGATGAGGTTGGCGAGCCCCAAGACTCTGAGTGCACGCTAACAGAGCCAAGAGCCAACAGGTTCCTTGCGTCGGCATCTGTAGGAGCGGCAGGGACTGGCACTGGGGAGCTTGGCGCACGCGAGTTCGGGGTGGTAGGTACGCCCAGGAGGCCTGGACGCAGCTGTGTGATGCCACCTGGGCCGGTGGCTTGGGAAATGGAGTAGTCGTGTAGACGTGGTCCGGTTGAGCCTGCGCGGCCCGAGCTGCTGAGGGCGGAAGTCGCCGGAACAGAGCTGGATATCGGTTTCGAAGGAGACGAAGGGCTAGATCCTTCGTGTGCGCTCCCGGGAGCGGGAGGCGGGACTATGCCGCCAGAGAGAAAGGTAGGCCAAAGGGAGCGATCTTCGGGAAGTGATGTCCCGGTTGTAGACGAGGGTGAAAGATGCGACAATATGGCGGCAGCCTAGGAAAATTTCGTCAGCACCTTTGTCAGCTGTCAAGCCAGGAGTAATGACCTCCAACAATTGGACTTGCTGATGTTTGCTAAGTACAAACTTGGAGGCTTCACGCCATTGGGGTGTATGTTCCCACCGATGTTTGATGAGACAAGAAGGATGCCGGTAGACCTGAGGCTCGTGGTCAATTTCTACTTGAACAGTTCAAGGCACGAAAAAGCTACCTTCGAGCAGCTCTCGCACGTAAATATCGTGCCGCGCTTCTTTCCGTTCTTTGCGATACCGCCGCTCGTACCCAGACTGCTATGAGTAGGAAGCGATGCCGACAATTCATTGTCGTCAAAGCTCCCGCCTTGTAGTGCAGCATCAGACCCCTGCACCACAGTAATGTGATCAGGTACATCAAGGATACTTCGGGATACCGCGTTCAGGGAAGTGCCGTGATGGATATTACTGCTCGGAGGCGAAGAGGAAAGAGACAGGGTGGCAAGTGAGGATAAAGCCGTGCTCTGTAGGGACGCTGGTCTAGATGCCAAATTTGTGATGAAATTCGGATTAAAGCAACGACAGCACATAAGGTGGGGGAGAAGAACTATAGGATATGGGGAAGCCAAATGTAGAACTTACAAAGGTCGTGTAGCTGCATCTCGCGCATCACTCAGTCTCCTTCTGGTCTTGCCAGTTGACGACAGGCGGCGGTGCTTGGGACCAAAGTTGGTCCCAGATACTACCGTGACAAAGATTGGTAAATACTTTGCACCGCAACATCCCACATCATCGTACCATGCAATGGTTGGACAATTATGTCCACAGACTTTGATACGGATATTGGCGAAGCACTCGCGGCAGCAACAGAGAGGGAAAGTAGACTCAGGTTTGAGCGATCATTCTGGTAGCATTTGAGTGAGTTTTGCCTCGTGGAGACAGCATAACGTGGAATGACGATTGACTCACGGAATTTGGGGAACTTGCTGGTGATGGAGAGCTGGAATCCGAGGTACAAGACATGATAGGATTTACAAGGACTAATACAAGCTCATGACAGAACAGAGACAAGGGAACACGATGTTCACAGATTGGCGCAATAGTCTCGCATATGTGCCACGAAATTTCAACGTCCGCCAAAAATTTGTTCCCAAAGGGTCCAGCGACTGGGCGCTCACTACTGCGCAACAAAGGCTACAACGCCGACAGTCCTTACAAAGTGCTGAAGTGCCTTAATCGGTCATCCCTCTCTGTAGAGTTACAAGTCTATATAAGCTATATCCTGGGGTTGATCTGCCAACAAGTAGTAGACATCCATATCTGGCTCGAATCGGCATTCCTTCCGACCCGCACCAAAATAGCGACCGCGGAACTTTATTGCATAAGGACCTAATAGGCTTGTATGGCACATGATCCAAAGGCCAGCCGGACTCCAGGCTATCCAAATCTAGCATACGGCAAACGATATGCACGACAGACGATGAAACCATGTGCTGAACAAAGTTTTCTGGACTACAATGGGAATCATGTGGTTGTGCCTTGTTTGTCGGCAGCTTTGGATGCTAACAAACCACAACAACGCCCGTAACAAAAACAAATATATCTTTAGCAGCAACTGGTTTCGATCCAGTGACCTCAGGGTTATGAGCCCTGCACGCTTCCACTGCGTCATGCTGCTGTCTGTTTCATAGCCAGCAATGGCCTAATCGATGGTCTGGGCATATCTATAGTTCCGAGTTCAACGCGGCAACCTCCCTGAATTAATCACGAGTAGAACTTTCGAAACACCCATATACATACATCAGATTTCTGAATCATTGTTGCATGTAATACCACAAATTCACTCTTCTCCCGCACTTCCAATATGCAATTCACAAACCTTGTCCTGGCCTGGACACACGTTATCTTACGACTTGCAGTTGAACTCGATATACAGCTATCTCGAAGATAGGCGATGTAATCGGCGGCGGCGAGTTAGATACGCACAGCTCCAGAAGTATAGAACAATTGAAATGGAGGAATCGCTATCAATTGCATTATAACAGCACCAAAACACTGCATTGACGGAGCGCTCAATTGCTACTATAACTAATAAAGCTATTCTTGTTCTTCACCGCAAGGAACTTCTATCAAGCTAGACTAGATAACGCAATTGAGAGATACGGGCAGCTTGAGCCATGTTACAGCACTTCAAACCTTTGCAAAACTTCTCATTCGCACGGCACAGCACAAAACCCTCAATCCAAGTCATCCAGCACGATGGCAGTGGTGCTAAATCGGACGAACAAAGAGCGAATAGCATCAATAGCAGATGCGGAGCAGCAGGAACAACACATGCGGCAAGTTTTGAAATAAATCATTTGTGTTGGAATATTCATGTCCAATGAAAATCTATGAACGGTTCGACGACATTAAACACAGCAAAGAGAAAGGCACATAGGCGAGGCACAAAAGCAAGCAATGCATGAGCCGCATGTATGGAAGCCTAGGACTTGCGCATACGTACCCCCTTTTCACAAGCCACGAGATGCCCAAATCATTGCACTCTAAGCGCATTTCGTATCTTTGGTACACCCCGTTGCACCCACTCCGAGGGTGACACGCGTTCCTCTGTATCCGAACTTGCGAAAAGGAGGTCGTTCTCCTCGGAGAACGCCCACACACTAGGGTCAGGTGCAGGCATCGCCATGATAGCGCGAAGTTCCTTGCCTGCATGGGGGTGTCAGTGGCGGTCCTGCGCGAGTGCAAGCGTTCTTACGTATTATGTTCTGTACGAAGTGATCCATGTTCTGAAATTAAAGTTTGTCAATATCAAATTACCTGAGCATGTCCGAGGCAGCGATTGACCGGACAGCACGTACCAGATCATTTTTGTCATATCCTGGGTGGATTAGGCGCATCGATATTGAGTATGCCGGACACGGGCCCCGTTATCATGGAACAGAACTTACCAAAGGGATCTGGGAAGGTACGTTGTGTCGGATGATACAAAGTGATGAAATTACATCACGCACTTTCGATCTCCTCGCCGGCAACGAGGAAGCCAAAGAAGATAAAACTCTATTTTATAAGATAAGCGTTGAACGATAGGGAGATGCGACTCCGGGCAGGCGTGCGATGTGATGGCAATGATCCTATCAGGACTTACCGCGAGAACAGTGGCAGGGATCGTGACCCATTTCAATGTTAACCAGATCTGGAATGGCTATAATTGTGGAGGTCAATGGCTGCTGCATGGGAGAGGACAGATCCTCCGTACCAAAGCCAAACAATATACAACAGTGACTAGCCACAAATGAATGGAATATCTATGCTAAAATGAGTT